CGACACATGCTTATCTTTCACGCGTAATATGAGTGGGGGGAGGGGGGGGTTAGATGCTTGTGAACGCACGCTTATCCTTTGGCTGGGAGAATCGTGTGCCTTCGGCTTTTCACTGGAACGATTGTGTTGGTTGCGGGGCCCACAAAGGTCACTTTGGTCTCTGCTAACACCCCGTTTGTGAAAAGAGCGCGCTTTACATACACAGCAAGGTATAAAAACTGCGACACTTGTTAGTTTGTAATCCTCTGTACCTGTGATAACGTATCGTGCATCCTTTTTGTTTAAACAGTGCGTTACATGTCAAGCGGTAAACGTAAGTTCGCTTTCGTCCTGTGTGTATGGTCTTCGTGCGTCATCTGTGCCTGAGCACCGTGCTGCACGTTTCGATCTGCTTGCTCTTCTCAGTGACATTCCAAGTTGTTGCTGTCGCATTCACTGCTTACCCATGCGGCGATACTGACTTTATTTTATACATATTTACTGCGTTTAATCTACCAGTGCGCGCCCTTGAAGCTCGTAGTATGCTATCGCTGCGCCGCGACCATGCAAACGGTAGTTCATTTTACAATCCCCGTGCGCTTGACTTCGCACGCACCCTCAACATTGTCGTGTTATGCCATCAACACTCGCATCTGCCGCAGTTTTGTCAACAGAGTTTGTGGAAAGCAGCGTTGCTTTGACTGGCTAAGCGAACACTTTTGGGGCTCTATCAGTTACATCATCACCATACATGATCGTGTCAAGAGCGACCGCGATTTCGTCCACAGCGGTTGTGGCAATGACAATCGCTGTAGAAGACTGCATGCACCGGTCGCACGCGTATCACTCGCCACGATTAGGAAATGTGTTAGGAACATTCGGAACTTATGTGCAACAGACATAGTGGAATTTGGATTTTGACGAATTCGTATCTGCGCGGTTTCGCATCAGTGAGATTATACTGCACGTTTAGATGAATGCATCTTAATCTCATTTATAATAAAATGGGGTAGGTTCGAAAAGCCTGGAGCGGATTGAGCTGCTTTTTTGTCAATGCGGCCAGATCACGCACATAAATATTGATTTCCGGGAGATTTTCATGACAACCATACAAACAGAAGAAAGAGCCGAAATCCGGGAGTCTACCCGCCAATCCGGGAGACTTGACAGGTATGTCAATGTCAGGAAACTGACGTTTTGGTCCTCTATGAAACACAGTGCTTTACTATTGCTGGCACTTATACAATATGCTCCAGCTGTAGCCATTGAAAAAATATTATACGTAGTGTTACGAACGCGCTACGCATTGTGCAGTGCTCTTCCTTTTCATGCTGGCCTTCCTGTATACAGAGACACTAGATGCATCTGTCGACGGTCTCAATCGCGGAGGGCCATCCTCCTCCTCCTTCTGGGCCTATAAAGACCGGCGCGGCTAGCGTCGAGGCTGCTTCCTCATCGGCATTTTGTACATACATTGTAATTAAAACGTTCTGTTTCCTCTGGCTACCTTTCGCCTTGCCACTGCCTGGATACTCACTGCCCGGCATCGGTCCCCGCGACACGCTACCAAAAAGACCATGGGGCCTCTCATAACACCTGGTTGGCAGTGATGAGATTGCAGTGGACCTTGCAACTTGAGCCAGCTGGAACGTGGATACCACAACGGAGCTCATGACTGCAGCTACGCGAGTATCAGATTTTTCCCTTTGGAGATTTGACAGGCTTTTGAGGATAGCTTTAAAGCTTGATGGCAGGTTTTCTTTATCAATATCAGCCTCTTTGTGTAATCCCACTTGGGGATATTGATGGTTAATAGATGGGGAGACGAGTTCGACGTCTGAGCTTGTGGTCATGGATCTCAATTCACTACGCACGGCTGATTTGTTATTGCTTTGCACGAAATTGGGAGTGGATATGGAGAATGCCATCCGTAAGCCGCACATCATTCAGGCCTTACTTGCGTCGGAAGTAGATGAAAGTGAGCTCCTAAAACCCTGAGAAACTGTTGAAGAGTGCTAGACAAACGAGGAAAAGAGCCGGGCTGAAGCCACGAAGAAGAGGCGTGCGGATGAAAAAGAGAGGCTATTGATTGAGCTCGAATTAAAGCAGTTAGAGCTGGAATTGCAGAAAGTGAGAGCTACTAGCGTTGAAGCACACAGCCCAGTCTCGAATGTCCGGGAAAATTTGAGTGTGAAAAATCTGATGCAACCTTTCCAAGTAGGAGAGGACATTGGAATGTTTCTTGTCCACTTTAATAATAAAAATAATAAGTGACTTATTTCAGACACAGAGTTAGTCTTAGATGACAAGGCAGAAGGCAGAACACTGTCTGGCTGACTAAGGCCTTGCCACCCATACATTGCTCCAACGGTGCGGCAGCATGCGGTGGCACAGAACTTTGAGAGGGCATGCCGAAAAATGAAATTTTCTAAAGCATCCTACCCAGAGTGCCTGTTAACCATGTTGCCGTGTCAGGTAGCGGATGCAATGGGGAGGCTTAGCACAGAGTGGTATGAGGACTCCAGAAGCGTTTTGGCAGCCCTTTCAAAAAGCCACAATGTCTAAAGATGAGTCCTACATTGAGTTTTGATACAACTCAAGCCTCAACTTAGTTGAATGACTAAAAGGCGGGTAGGTTTAAGGGAGGCATGGAGAAGGTTGTGGAGTACTTCTGCCTGGAGAAGTTTTACAATACAATTTCCGACCTGATGCGTTTGTGGATTCTTGACAGGCCCGACGTTACCACAGTAAACAAGGCTGCTGAGCTCGCAGAAGAACACGCATCGCGCCATGCATCGCAGTGAACTAAAGGGCAGACACACAACGTGTTTCCACATCGGGGCGTGGAGAATGGATTCGCAAAGTTTTTCAAATGTGAAGGGAATGTGAAAGGCGCAGAGCTGGAGAAGGAGGTTGAGCAGACGCTGTCTAATGATCCTGTTATAAGAAACACAGTGAGGAGCAGAAGTCGATTGCATGCTATAAGTGCCTTCAACCGGGACACCTTGCCCTTGGTTGCTGAAATGAGCGTGTTGTATTATCATATAATTGAGCCGACACAGAGAACTTAAGGCTATTTAAGCCATTCATGAAGTAACTCGTGGTTAATGAAAAGCGCTGCAGGGCATTTCGAGATTCCGCAGCCACCATGGATGTCGTTCATTCATCTTATGTCAGTGCAAAATACTTCACTGGCGAGTGTGCATGGATATGACAGGCGATGCAGGAACACTGCGTTTGTCTACCGTCTCGCACGCGTTCATATCGAGGGGCCCTTCGGAGCGTTTACTGCTGAGGCTGCTGTTTCGGCTAGGCTCTCACCGGAGTGAGTATTCCTACCCGTTTTCTAATAAAACCGAGATGCAACTTCAAAAAATGGGAAAGTAGCTTTGAAATGTGGCATGATGGCCCACTTACCCAACTGCAGGGAATCGGAGTTACAACTTGCAGGGAATCGGAGTTACATTTCACCTGCCTTGATAGACACATGCGATGCACCCAGCTGAACGCAGATAGCCTGATGCCAGAAAGCGTTTTAGAGCTGGACGCTAGAAAAGTTCTTTGAACAGATGCTGCGTCCACAGATGAGAAATCTCATTTTGTTGCGCTTGATTGGAAAAGGCAAAGTGTCGTCATCGACGAAATAAGAAAAAAACATTTATTAGGCAAAAACGTACTTCGCTTCAGCCTTGTATTCTTGCCATCGTGGCTTAAGTTGCTGCTTTGAGTTACAATATTTCCTGAATGCAATTCTAACTACGCCTTAAAAGTTTTTAAAAATTGTAATTGGTTTTTAAAAAAACGTGTTTTCCTTAGAAATTTTAGAATCGAGGTTTTGAACAATGCGTTGGGCAGTCGATTCTTGTCTCTCTCGCCTGCCAACTTTATTTTTTGAAAGTGAGCCTGGCAGGTTTTAGGGTGAATTGTCTGATGTTTTTGGGCTTCTTTTACCGAGGAGTCTACAGTGAAGCTACCAGGAAAATGGCACTTCTGCTGAAAGCGAATCCGGAGGCCAGAACCATTCCGAGCTCTCACAACTGTCACAAGGGAAGCCAACCATGAAGCAGTGTGTTTTGTGTTGAGTCGCCTTATCATGGTGCCGAGTCCAGGAGAAGTGAGCTCGGGCCGATGATACGGGGCCATCAGTTGTTCCAGGCGTCTCCAAGCGCGAACACTTCAGATACCGGCACAGTGACCCTCTGGACAGTGGATGCGGACCCCTAACCATCAAGTCATCGCCATTTCGGTGGAGAACCTGTTATGAATGCGCTACGTGTTGTCCAGTGCTCTTCACTCTTGGCATTCCTCTATAAGAGACACTAGATGCAACCGCCAGAGACACTGGGCGCATTTCACAGAGACGCTGGACAGGTAGAAATCTGATGCAGTCTCAAATGGCGTAGCATCAAATTGCACATCCCCCACAACATACTTCTTCAGATCATAAGGCACACCTTCCATTAGTTAAATGTGTACACATTAAACCAGTACATTTTATGCTCAGTAATTGCAGTAAGCGTCCTCAAACTATTTGCAATGGCCCTTTATGAAGCTGCTATTCTAGCTTACACTGCGACTGTGCTGAGTGCTCCACACAGGCCTGGCAATTTTTTGTGCCACTTGAAGGTGCTGGTGATCACTGGAGGAAAATGAGTCATACTGCATCACAAATATTTTCGTTTTCATTGTACACCATTCTAGAGCAGCTCAAGGTGCCCAGCACTCAGCAATGGTACAACAAAACACAGGCAGCGATCCACTCTAAATATCATATTACGATTGCCATGCAGTGCACGCAACTGAGTAAGTATTCTATCATTCACAAAAGCATCAAACACGCAAATGATTACTAAGAGTTCTGTGTAAAGGTCTGAAGGCAATGCAACTTTAAACTTTGGAGGAAAAACTGTTGCCAGCACTACCAAACATACTGGAAACCTACACTCAAAGCACAATATATTAAAGGGTACCAGAAACCTCAGTCAATGTTCTTTTTTTGCTAAGAGTCGAAATCTACTTACAGCCTCCAACTGATGCTTCTTCTGCGAAAGAACGTCCAGCATATAGCTGACATCATTCAAATTCATGCTGTCAGACTCCTGCAGGATAAGTTCAAATAATTCTGACACTACTGGGCTATTCTGAAATAATACAGCAGATATGAGCATGCTGCAAAGACTCTGCAGATAGAGAAAAGAGTTTTTTTTATGGAAGTTCTGCATTTCACTTACGCCCTCCAACTTCAGTTTCTTGTCAGCAGCCTTTTGCTTATACTTCGTAATAAGCTCATTCACTGAAATAGCAAGTGATGAACTATAAGAAAAACACTTTCTAAAACCACAATAACAATAGCAGCCATGGAAAACCCTTTAGCACTCATAATAAAAATTGATTGCTCATAGTTGGCTACAACTAAGAAAAAAGTGTTTTTAAATAAATTTGCTTTTGAAGAAAAATTTCCCCTTCATACATACCGCAGTATTGAGACCCAACGTAGTGAAATGTGACATTTATTTGAAAACTGTGAAGCCCATGGACATTTCATACTGACACAACCATGACAAAACCTATCAGCATTGCTCTTGTAGTCACCTGAAGCACTTTTGTACCCTCCCAGTCAAACTCACTCCTCTAGACAAAATGAAGAGTTAATTTCTCTCTCCTCGACTAGCTTCTACACTGGCTAAGGAGGGAAGATGTTTGAGGTTCGGAATGGGTCTCCTCGATGACTCGAGTGCATGGTGGCAGCACGAAGGAAGAGCCGTAGTCCGGTGAAGAGACGCTTTATTGCAGCCTCAAACGTCTGCCCGAGTCCAAGCCCAAACCTCCGCTCTGAATCCGCCATCTCCCAGAGTGTGCCTGAACGCAAGTGCATTCAGTCAAAAAAAAAATTTTCTCGCAGTGCGCCAGCAGGTCCCGAAGCAGCGTGCGTTTTGACGCTACTTCTCTCAGCACACCAGCAGGTACCAAAAGCGGTGTCTTGTCAGCTTCCCGGACTTCAGCACTTTCCTCGCTGCGGGCTCTCCACTCCACCGTCAACAGCACCAGTTAATTTCCTCTTCCTCAAACATCTTCCCTCCTTAGCTAGTGTAGAAGCTAGTCGAGGAGGAGGAAAAAAACTTGAAGTCTTTCAAAACGCTGCACTTCCTCTCTCTCTGAATGGCATCAGGTATTTTCATGCTGGGAAAATTTCAGAAAACAGCTACTTTTCTGGAGTTATCTCTGAGTGTGCCACCGTTTTTCCGGCACAACTGCCAAGCTAAGCAGATTGATGGCAATACTGTGAAAACTTAAGTTTTTTTGTTGTTTCTTTTTCTGCACTATTTCTGCCCCTTACAATGAACAATTCAAGACAATGTCAATGGCTACCAAAAAAAATTTACGACCAACATGACCATAGCGGCCAAAGACAACTGGAATGAATCCAGGAGATACAGGGCAGATACACATCTTGTGGACATTCCAAATTTAAGATACAAAAGAGAAGTTTATATAACAGAGGTATTCAATAAAAGGTGCCTTAGAACTCGATGCCGTGGCTGAGCAAGTAACTTTTTATATTGCAGTATACGAAAAAAAAAATATCTAGAGGTCCTTCATAGCCATGACAGCCACACATGCACTCGGCTTACAATAACCTAATTCATAACATGTTCTGTTTTAGCCACTACAGTTGTTTGTAAACCTTCACATGCCACTACCGCAACACTACACCTGCCATTAGTATTTTTAAATGAACCCTGAAACACTTTTTCTGCATTGTCAGAAAACGCTGTCCATCAGTAGTCGACACACAAGTCGAACATTACAGCGCATCATGAAATAACATTTAATTCTCAAAGTCGGCAAGAAATCATTTACTTTTTTCTCAATTGCCATAAACCCAAACATCCATGCCAAAGTCCACAGCCATGGGCTCATTTATGCACTACGAGCTGCATAGCTACCATGTCTGCCACGGGATTTCTCCACGTGCCTCTGTGCACACTCGCAATTACACTGAAAGTTGCAAATTGTAAGAAAAAAAAAAGAAGGTGTTAAAGGTCATGATGTGTGCTGATGGAGGGATGCATTTTCTTGCATAAATGTTATCTCGCTCCCTAAGTAGTTTTCAGTGTGCTTACTAGTACAAAATGAAAAATCACTTAAAGCATTACCTAATCCCAGCAGCTCCGCTCGTATCCGACAAATTCTAAAACTTTTTCGACAGTCGATTCGCGACGCGATAAGCTCTTTTAAAGAAGCCACATAATAATTATTCATAGAAGTTTTGAAGGGTCGCGTTAATGTACGTATGACTGCACTCCTGAAAACCTCGGATACCATGCTGCCATTATGTGCAAATTATGGGAATCAGAACTGCAAGGCATTGTCCTACCTCTGTTTTCCTTGTGCTCATTGGAGTAACCACTATTCACATTTGCACATCTGACATTTTACTTCACCATACTTGTTGTGCACTTTGTGAGAAGTTCTTTAACATGACGCCAAGTTTGATGAAAAGAAGCCACAGCTACTTTTTTTACAATTATTAATAGGATGAAGCATTAAGTATGTGCAATTTGAATGGATTTTGCTACGCGTTTAAGCGGATGACTTACACAGAAAGTTCGGATAGATTTGCTCCTTCTTTTCAATCGCGAAATTGCATTTTGGACAACGGTTACTGTATTCCAGGCCAGTTGTGATGCACTTGAAGCTGCAAGGCAAACGGCAATTTAATGCGATATTCAAAAAATGGCACTGGGCTTAAGCATAAACAAAAGGCACACGGTCTACTCACCAAAAAGTGTGTCCACAAGGTGTCATGTGTGCTTCTTCAATTATATCGAAGCATATTGGGCTACGATAAAGGGGAAAACATGCAAAGGAACATTAAAGTACGGACCTAAAAAATGGGGTCCCTATCAAAACGCCTAACTATGAAAAGGTCAAATGTCAGAATGACGAAAAATTGAAATGCCAAAAAATCAAAAGGTTGAAAAATCAAAACACTGAACCGACAGAACGGCAAAAAAACCGTGCAGCAAATTTTATTGAACCATGTGAAAAATAAATGCCAGGCTTTGTGAATTGTGACTACCACTTGTTCATTTTCCGCTGTATCACTGCCCCTTGATCTAGCTGTTTAACTTAATCCGCAGATGTACCAACATCGGAATATTATACCGATGTAAAATTTCGTATCTTTTAGCTGTTGTGTATCTTTAGCTGTTGTGAAGCTAGGCATATCTGTTGGACAGGACGGCTCTTACGGGTCCGCAGAAAAAAAAAACATTGCTGTCCAGCGTTTGGAGTACAAAAGCAGCAGCAATGTGAGACAGTTGTCATTTGATTGAAAATAGAAGAAGACATGTGCTTCCAGAAGAGAAAAGAAAACTGATGCGAAGACGATTTTGTGTAGATGCTTAAAAATGTTCTAGACACTACTGGCTAGGCAAGTGTACGTTAGAATGATTCATGAATAAGGTACTTGCAAAGTCGTCCTGAAAAAAGCTGGCCACGCTATAGCCATGCTCCGGATATCTCTACAGCGACAGTTCTTCGCACTCAAGAGTGGATCAAAGCGCCTCGGGCAAGGCACCCGCGAAGCTTGTACAGCGAGTCACGGCATATATACCAGCGTCTTCAAGGCAACCCTTTCGGAGGGATGAAGCCTTGCGCCAGATTGTGAAAAGGAAAGCGGACTGGGACATGAGCCATGCTGGAACTCGGCCTCGAGGGCGAGTCCCGAACAAGCATAGATGACCGTGCGCTTCGAATGGCTGAACCATATTCGAAGAGAACATGGCTATTGGAAACGAGGGCGAAAGCATATGCATATCGTAAAAAGCCAGTGGAACCTTTATCTTGCGATTATACATCATCTTCCACTCTAGCTGGGCGAGATCGGCATTTTCACGCTTCGGTGTTCAGATTTTTCGGCATTTCCTATTTTCGACTTTTTGCGTGTTTTCGGCGTTTCAGTTTTTCAGTGTTTTAAATTTCGGCATTACGATAGTTCGGCGTTTTGAATGCCACCCTAAAAGATACGAGTTCTTGGTCGTGTTTGGTTTAACAGATCAACTTCGGAAACAGGCGAGCAACATACACGACTCGTAAAAACGAGCGGCTGAGACAAAACAGCTGTAACGCGTTTGCTTAGCAGGACACCAAAATGACTTTAAATCTTCCTGGGACTTGCACTTCGCGTAAAAATACAAGGAATTAGGCCGACCGTCGAGCACTTTGACAAAAAGGTCTCGGCGGTTGAGAGAATGCGCAAGCTCGTGAATCGAGGCAGTACGCACCACAAGAAATCGTTGTTCATGTCTTCATACGAGCTGGTGATTCCGTTTAGAACAGATGGCTGTCTCTTCCTGGCTTTTCAAATTTGTTCCGCTGTTGAATTCGGCAAGGAAATCCTTGTGTTGTTGACTGACGCCATTGACACGACCTACCAGAGCTAGTCGAGCAAGAACGTCTGCTCGAAGAACATGGATATGCTACAGCACACGCAGACGATAAGCGAACGGGCTTAAAAACTTTGGCTCATAATAGTGAGAACCCAATATAAACATGGTTCTACACAATTTTTGTTACGCTATTATGGCACATAACACTCGAAATAAACTTTCGAAAGACTGTACGATCAAGTCTTCTATCTATCTCGTGCCGTTCAGACTCGGCTATGGATCGGCTTGAATTCGTGTAAGAAAGTGTACAAAATGGATAGATAAAAGAATTAATGTGGTTGTAACCTTTAGATCGGGCGGCGGCTAACGTCACCTAGCCGTAACACTTAGTGAAGTAACCCTTAGATTTATCTTTTTTTCTTTCTTTAAATAGTGAGGTTGAGGATTCGTACTTTGCAGTGAAGGGTTTAATTTTCACTCGTGCCTTGACTTTATCCAGCAATCAGATAACCTCCTTCTAGTTAAGTCTACCCGCTTAAAGTCTATTTTGCCCTCCCTGTCCCTAAACCCCAGTGCTTTGAAAAACTCTGCGCCATCATCCTGAACTACAGCGTGAAGCCCTTTACAGAACATTATCAAGTGTTCGGCAGTTTCTTCTTCCTCTCCACACGCACTGCATACTGTGTCTACACCTTCGTATTTGGCCCGATATGTCTTGGTTCGCAGTACTCCCGTCCTGGCCTCAAACAGTAGAGAACTACCCCGAGTATTATCATAGATCCTTTCTTTGGCAATTTCCAGCTTAAAAGTACAATAGATCTCTAGTGCGGACTTCTTAATCATGCCGATTCTCACTTTCTCTCCGTTTCCTTCACTTTCTCCGTTTCCTTCACTTTCTTCTTAACCGATAGCTCTCTTTTGTTTGGCCACCTGCTGTTTACCAAGTATTTACCAGTTAATTTCCTGGTTCTCTTCCTCCATTTTGTATCGACATTCTTCATGTACAAGTAGCTGAAAACCTTCCTAGCCCAACGCTCCTCCCCCATTTCTCTCAATCGCTTCTCAAATTTTATCTTGCTGCTAGCTTCCCTGCCCTCAAATGATGTCCATCCCATTTCACCTTGTACTCCCTGATTTGGTGTATTCCCGTGAGCTCCTAAGGCAAGCCTACCTATTCCACGTTGCCTAACTTCTAATCTTGATTGAACTTCTTATCTCATGCAGAAGACCACATTGCCGAACGTCAGCCCAGGAACCATGACCCCTTTCCATATTCCTCTCACAACATCATACCAACTGTAATTTCACAGTGCCCTATTTTTCATCACTGCTGCATTCCTGTTACCTTTAGTCGTCACGTATATTTCGTGTTCCCTCAGGTACTCGGGTCCCATTGCTTTTCCATACGCCCAGATATTTGTATTTATCTGTTATCTCTAGTGTGACCTCCTGTATTCTAAGCTCACTACCTTCGTTGTCATTGAAAATCATGACTGCTGATTTTTCTTTACTGAATCTAAAATCTAACATATCTCCCTCATTACCGCAGATGTCCATCAATCTCTGCAAATCTTCCTCGTTGTTGGCCATTAGCACTATATCATCTGCGTACATTAATGCTGGTAGTGCCTGATCAATAAGTTTTTCTTGTTTGACTAAAGAGAGGTTGAAGCCCAGTCCACTTCCCTCTAATTTGCCCTCTAATCCTTGTAGGTACATCATGAATAAGGGTGACAGGGGACACCCCTGCCTAAGCCCCCGTATTACCTCTGCAGGCTTGGATACCTGTTTTTCCCACTTTATAACTACCTTGTTACCTTTAGAGATATCCTTTAAAAGATTAGTCACTCCATCTTCCACATCTAGTGTGTCCTGTATTCCAACGTGCCGCCTGGCACACGAGGAGTTGGAAAAAGCCGGAGCACGGTACACGAAGCTGTACAATCGAAAGGCGAAGGAGCGGAGTTTCAACCCCGGAGACAAGGTACTGATTTTACTTCCAACCGACACGAACAAGCTGCTGCTGCAATGGAAGGGCCCTTTTGAAGTCCGGGAAAAGAAAGGTGAAGCTGACTACGTCGTAGACACGGCTGGCGGCAGAAAAATCTTCCACGCCAACTTACTAAAAAGATACGAGGACAGGGACAGCCCCTCCACCAAGGTGTGTAACGTGACATTTGGCGTTTTGGAATCGAGCGAGGACGAGAATATTCCAACCCCTGACTGGCTGAAAGTAGAAGGGGAAGAAGACGTGAAGCTCTCCGACAAACTGGACGCTCAGCAAACCGGACAGCTGCAAAGAATTGTCAGGGAACACGCTCGTATTTTCTCGGATGTCCCGGGAAAAACTGACTGGGTCCACTGCAACCTCGAACTCACCACGAGTAACCCCGTCCACGTGAAACAATACCCTCTTCCCTTTGCAACGCGGGAAGGTGTAGAGAAAGAGGTGCGGGAGATGGAGAAGCTCGGCATCATTGAGAAATCAGAGTCCCCTTATAATTCGCCAGTCATTTTGGTAAAGAAACCCGACGGGACAAATCGACTGTGTATCGATTTTCGACGCCTGAACAACGTTCTGGTGGCCGACTCTGAACCTATGACAAGAACTGACGCGGTGTTTGCTACAGTGGGAAAGAAGAAGTATTTCTCGAAGCTCGACTTCGTGAAGGGCTATTGGCAGATCCCGCTGACCGAGGAGTCCAAAGCGAAGACGGCCTTCTCGACGACATCGGGACTATATCAGTTCCGCTTCATGCCATTCGGCATCAAGACAGCGCCTGCTGTATTTGCTAAGTTGATGCGGAAGATTGCAGAAGGTATACCCGGTGTGGACCACTACTACGATGATGTACTGGTAGCCACCGAGACATGGGAAGAGCACCTGAGGTCTCTGGGACTGCTTTTTGAGGGCATACAGAGGGCCGGGCTTACAGTGCGCCCCAGTAAATGCGAACTTGGTGTAGAAGAAATCGACTTCTTGGGACACCGAGTTGGGAGGGGCAGATTGCAACCACTGGGGAAAACACTCGACAAGATCGAAGCTGCACCACGTCCTTCAACCAAGCGACAAGTGCGCGCCTTCCTCGGTTTGACCGGGTACTATCGGGAATTTATCCCGAATTACGCAGAAGTCAGCGCTCCCCTTACAGATTTAACTCGGAAGGGCGAAGCTAACTCGGTGAAATGGACAGCAGCCCACGAGGAGGCTTTTCGAAGTCTCAAACAACATGTCTCGACGGAGCCGATACTACGGCTACCAGATTTGCACCAACCATTCGTACTTCGAACGGACGCATCGGATACAAGTCTCGGAGCCGTGCTCATGCAGGCCCACGAAGGCAAGCTCCACCCCACAGCTTATGCCAGCTGAAAGCTGCTTCCACGGGAGGCTTCCTATAGTACCATCGAACGCGAATGTCTCGCGTTGGTATGGGAAATTCAGAAATTCTCCATGTACTTATATGGAGTACATTTTTGTGTCCAGACAGACCACCAGCCTCTGAGTTTTATCCAACGGGCAAAACAGCTGAACGCTCGAGTACTTCGATGGAGTTTACTACTCCAAGAGTACCAGTTCACCATTACGCATATTAAGGGTAGCGAAAACGTGGGAGCCGATTACTTGAGTCGGATATAGTTCTTGAGGTCTATGAGCATGTTTTTTTTTCCTTTCGTCGGTTGTTTTCTGTTTGTATGTGCGTATTTCATTGTATAAGAAGTGTATTTTGAGTTATTTCCTTTTTGCTTGGTGTATTGGTTGTTTTTACTTGCTGTAATGCACATTGATGGATTGCACTACAGTAGAGGAGCGCACCTGTTCCGTTTTGTTTCGTAGTATACATTCGTGCAGTGTATGCTGTATTGATGGCTGCCGTACACGGCTATTTCCTCTTCTTGTTTGTATTGCGCCTTGATATTGTTGCGTGTAACTGAAGCTGGTACTCTAACAATTTGTTTTTTTTCTTTTGTTGTTACTTTGATGCACTCTGCCTAGTTATGTTGTGTATGAGAGGGACAGCCCTCATGTCTCCCTTGTTGGTGGTGTTTTGTTCCTTGTTGTCGAAAAAATTCCCCTCCGTGTGAACAAATGTTATGAATAACATTCTGAAAGTGGGGGGCAATGTCACGGACGGCTATTTTTGGCGACACCGCGTCACGGCAATTAACGGGCGCCGTACTCCCCGACTGACCGTGAGAAACGGCAGCGCATAAAAGGGATCCGAGAAGTGCAAAATGGGGTGCTCTTCTTAGAACGTCGCCGCCGACAGTTAATCCTTTTGTAACTGTGGCGACGTCTGCAAGGTCCTAGAAGGCCGCGGTATACCCCGAACAAGGATTAGACTACAAAACGCACCGACTGAGAGCTAAGTGGTTGACCGTTCCCACGGGGAAAAGCGTGGGAAACGCTCTGGTGGCCAAGCCGTATGACAACAACCCGACAGGTTGTCACTCTCGCTAGTTGCGGGCCCTCTCCCAATTAAAAAGGGGTTGGGTCAAAATATTTTTTGGGGCGGAGTTTCCATCAATTAAACGCGCATGATTGGACCCATGTAGAGGTCTCTTGTCCCCAAGAAAGAGAGCGAGGAGACACGAGGGGGATTTAAGCACAGGTATTTGCCCTGCTAGGCAGACTAGTCGCTGACCAAGATGGTGTAGAAACAGATCAACAAGCATCTCTTCTAGAAGTTTTTAGTGTGGCTCTGTATCGGCTGGCCACCTAAACTTAGCCGTTCGTCTAGTTGTGACGCGATATTAACGTCTGCAACGTAGACATCGGGACTTCGCCTCGAGTTGGCTCAACCTGCTCGAAGTCACCTGCAAGCACTAGCCTCCCGGAGCCACCAGCGTTGCAACACCGCCGACATCGCAGTCGTGCCAGAACTCTCTTCGACTTCTCGCATCCGATCGTCGGGGACACAACGCTGCCGGTCATCACACGTATGCCTTCACCTGTTTATATCTTCGAACTTTCTCCTCCGTCGTCCTATTCTTGTTAGTTTGTGTAGTTTGTAATAGTTCTCTCTCGTAAGGTGATTTATTGTTTCTGTTATATATTTCTTTAGTTGTATCAAGTGTCTATGTATTTTGTTAGTTGTATTGACGTGTTGTATTAGATCCCGTGTTGCTGCAATATCACTAGAGTAAAGTTTGTTTTGTTTTCCCACGTCTCTGGTCTCTTCATTGTCTCTGCTTGCGTACGGAACGAACCAACCTGCTATCATTCCCGTCGCCGACTTCGCGCTGGCGGCGCTAGAGTGGCAG